GGGAGGGGGGTAGGGCAAGGGTCAGGGGGTGGGATGGGGCCCCAAGGGGGTAAAGGGAACAAGGTAGCCTGTAGGTTGAGAATTGGATCGTGGAATATAGGGACGTTGACGGGTAAGTCTATCGAGCTGGTGAAGATTCTCCAGAAGAGGAGGGTCAATATAGTGTGTGTGCAGGAGACTAGGTGGGTATGATCGAAGGCGAGGAATGTAGACGGGTATAAATTGTGGTTCTCCGGAGTCGTGAATGGCAAGAATGGAGTGGGCATTTTGGTAGATAGGGAGCTTAGAGAGTCGGTGGTAGAGGTCAGACGGGTGAATGACAGATTGATGGCGATTAAAGTAGTAGTTGGAGGGAGCACTCTGAATGTCATTAGCGCTTACGCGCCGCAAACAGGCTTGGAGGAGGAGGTTGAGAGGTGCTTCTGGGAGGCGCTGGATGCGGTGGTGCGAGGTATTCCGCCTACGGAGAAGCTATTCATAGGAGGGGATTTCAATGGTCATATTGGGTCGTGTGCTGGTGGCTATGGTGAGGCGCATAGTGGCTTCGACTTTGATGATAGTAACGGGGGTGGTACCTCACTGTTGGATTTTGCTAGAGCTTTTGAGTTGGTGATCGTGAACTCTATGTTTCCGAAGAGGGAGGAACATTTGGTTACTTTCCGGAGTATGGTGGCTAAGACTCAGATTGACTATCGCCTCCTTAGGAGGTGTGATAGGGGGTTGTGCGAGGATTGCAAGGTGATCCCGAGTGAGAACCTCGCAACTCAACATAGGCTCCTAGTGATGGACGCCAGTATCTTGATGAAGAGGAAGAAGAGGTTTGTACGGGGTCAGTCGAGGATCAGGTGGGGAGCTTTGTCTAAGGATAATGCACAGGAGTTGGTAGGGCGGCTGACGAATATGGGTGCCTGGAAGAGTGGTGGGAACGCTAGCGCTATGTGGACGGGGACAACGAACTGTATAAGGGAGGCAGCAAAAGAGGTATTAGGATTTTCGAAAGGTTACTCTGGCGGGCACCGAGGCGACTAGTGGTGGAATGAAGTGGTCCAAGGTAAAGTGGAAGCCAAGAAAGCGGCTTACATTAAGTTAGTAGAGAGCACCAGCGAGGATCAAAGGAGAGCGAACAGAGAAAAATATAAGGAGGCTAGGAAGGAGGCAAAATTAGTCGTCACAGAGGCTAAGACTATTGCTTTTGGTCGGGTTTATGAGGAACTTGGGGGCAAAGGTGGGGACAAGAAGTTATTTCGGTTGGCCAAAGCGAGGGAGAAGAAAACTCGCGACCTGGATCAAGTGAGGTGCATCAAAGACGAGGACGGTCGAGTATTGATGGAAGAGGCCCAAATTAGGCAAAGATGGCAGTCGTACTTTCATAAACTTCTGAATGAAGAGGGGGATGGAAACATCGTGTTAGGGCAATTGGGACACTCCGAGAGTCACCGAGACTTTAGGTATTGTAGGCGCATTAAGGTTGAGGAGGTCGTGAGTGCGATGGGTAAGATGAGTCGGGGCAAAACGACCGGACCAAACGAGATTCCAGTAGAGTTTTGGAGATATGCGGGTAGAGAAGGCTTGGAGTAGCTGACTGGGTTGTTTAATGTTATCTTCAGGACAAAGAGGATGCCTGATGAGTGGCGGTGGAGTAAAATGGTTCCGGTGTACTAGAACAAAGGGGATATTCAGAATTGTAACAGTTATATGGGTATCAAGTTACTAAGTCATACCATGGAAGTGTGAGAGAGGGTGGTAGAAGGGAGGGTAAGGAGGGCGGTGTCTATATCGGAAAACCAGTTCGAGTTCATGTCGGGTCGTTTTACTACGGAAGCTATCCACCTTATCAGGAGGTTGGTGGAACTATACAGGGATAAGAAGAGGGATTTGCATATGGTGTTTATTGACCTAGAGAAGGCGTATGACAAAGTTCCTAGGGACGTCCTTTGGAGGTGCCTGGAGGTGAAAGGTGTGCCGGTGGCTTACATTAGGGCGATAAAGGATATGTATGATGGAGCTATGACTCGGGTTAGGACTGTGGGAGGTGACTCAGAGCCTTTTCCGGTTGTTATGGGGTTACACTAAGGATCTGCGCTCAGCCCATTCTTATTTGCTCTAGCGATGGACGCACTGACACACCATATCCAAGGAGAGGTGTCATGGTGTATGTTGTTCGCTGATGATATAGTTCTGATTGATGAGACGCGAGGTGTCGTGAATGGGACACTGGAGGTATGGAGGAAGACCCTGGAGTCTAAAGGTTTCAAGTTGAGTAGGACTAAGACAGAATATGTGGAATGTAAGTTCAATGACGTGACAGGGGAAGCGGATGTGGAAGTCAGACTTGACTCGCATGTCATCCTCAAGAGGAAAGTTTTAAGTACTTAGGTTAAATTATCCAGGGAGATGGGGAGATCGACGGAGATGTTAGCACCGTATTGGGGCGGGGTGGATGAAATGGAGGTTAGCGTCTGGAGTCCTGTGTGATAAGAATGTGCCACTGAAACTCAAAGGTAAGTTCTATAGAGCGGTGGTTAGACCAGCCATGTTGTATGGAGCTGAGTGTTGGCCAGTCAAAAATTCACATATCCAGAAGACGAAAGTAGCAGAAATGAGGATGTTGAGATGGATGGTGTGGGAGCACTAGGCTGGATAAGATTAGGAATGAAGATATTCGGGAGAGGGTGGGCGTGGCTCCCGTGGACGACAAGATGCGGGAAGCGCGGCTTAGATGGTTCGGACATGTGCGGAGGAGAAGCCTAGATGCACTGGTTAGGAGGTGTGAGCGATTGACTTTGGCAGGTACAGGAAGAGGCAGATGACGGCCTAAGAAGTATTTGGGCGAGGTGATCAAGCAGGACATGACGCGACTTCAGATTTCCAAGGTCATGGCTATTGATAGGAACATGTGGAGGTCGAGCATTAGGGTGGTAGGCTAGGGGTAGTCGAGAGTTCTTCCCTCTTTATATCGGGTAGTCTGATAGAGTTTTGTTTAGGTTTGTTAGCGATCTATGTTGTGTTCACATTATTGTTTTGCATAGTTTTGTGTTATTGTCCTTTTACTTATGCGTTGTTGTTATTTTCTTTCTGGCACATTTTGCTGTTACATGCCTTTTCTTTTGTTTCTTTTATGATATTATTGTCTCTCTTGTCGAGCCGAGAGTCTCCGGGAAACAACCTCTCTACCCTTTTCGAGGTAGGGGTAAGGTCTGCGTACATTCTATTCTCCCCAGACCCCACTAGTGGGATTTACTGGGTATGTTGTTGTTGTTTGGTGCTTATGCTTTCCTGAGCCGAGGGTCTATTGGAAACAACCTCTCTATCCTCACAAGGTAGGGATAAGGTGTGCATACACATTACCTTTCCCAGACTCCATGGTGTGGGATAATACTGGGTATGTTGTTGTTGTCACTCTTCCTAAAATTAATATTCAAAAAATCCAATCTTTGCAGATGATAAAGTGCATGCTAAGATTAAACTTGCAGCTATCACATGAAATCAAGCAGTAAAAATGGAAGTTAACTAAATTACCGCACCAATTTAACGTATCTCAGTTGCACCAGAGGTGCCTTCCAACTCCAGGTAAGATCCCATTACAGCATCCAAATGCATTAAACTGGGGTTATTTGTACCAAAAGATGCAACAGTTTTTTGCATTCATATACAGAAGGGAACAAACTAAAAGCTAATGGGGTGATATAGAAAATCGCGCAAACACTAATGCTGCAAAATCTTAATAACATAATATGTAATTGCACCAGTAATTTAACAACAACATACCCGGTGTAATCCAACAAGTGGAGTCTGACAGGATTTGAATGCATCTGCCGAGAGTCGAACCTGAGTCTATTTTTGGAAGGCAATTATCCTAACCGTTGGACTATACACACTGGTTAAATTGCACTAGTAATTTGAATTTCGATATCTCTTTCCTCCAATTAGGAGTCAGTTTGATCAAGTAAAATATTAATTCGTGTATTTAGCCTTAACAGTCTTAAATCCTCAAATAAACTGTAGGCGAAAGTGAAAAAAGAATCTTGGTTTTTATAATATCTCATTCACGGAGCTGCAGCAGAAATCGTAACATGTCATGATTTCTGAAATCAAACATCGTCGCTACTTATTTTTCTTTTTATTTATCTTATTAGGGATGTTAAAATCCTAACTTTTGTAGCTGAGATCTTTTTGTATATTTGTTGCCATGTGATTTTTGTAGTTCTAAATTAAGTAAACACCAGCAGCTTCACATTAATTTCTTCTCTTCTCTCACCCCGTTTAATATCATTTTAGACTTCCATATATCATCATAACTACGTATATCAAGAAACGAGTACAATTCGTGATTCAATGAGCTTGCTTGTGCAGAATTGAACACTTAACGCAACTGCCATATGTAATCAACCAGCAACCGAGAGCCGATGATTTGATTACACCTAGTTTAGACTACTGACAAACTCAAGCCTGATCATTCTAAGTGCAGAAAGAGCATCTCCCATGCTAATTCTTGCATCAGGTGTCACTAAGGTGCAGCTCAAAGCTAATTTCATGATAGATAACACACACTGCAGCTTTGCGTCCGTTTGGTCATTTCTTGGTTGTACCAAATTAGTATCCACCACCTTATGAATTCTACTTGGAAAAGAATCACTAACCCAACGTCGTATGGTCAAGTCTCCAGTAAAAATCTCATCACTTGGTCTCATTCTTGTAAATGTCTCCATCATCAGGATGCCAAAACTATAAACATCGCAACTCGTGGATACTATTCCATCTTGGCCATACTCTGCAATGACAGTGGAAAATGATCAGGAAAGCTTCCTAGTTAGCAAGGAATAGGCTAAAACAGGAGAGTATCGATCTGTATCTAGGGGAAATAATTATTTTGGAAATTCTAATGATATGAGAAAGCCTTAAAAAGTTCAATTACCTGGAGCAATATACCCGAGGGTTGCAATTGTTCCTGTTTGAACAAAATTCTCCCCTGCACCTAGTAATTTTGCAATGCCGAAATCAGTGACATGGCCAACCATTTCTTGATCTAGCAAGACATTGCTTGGCTTCAAGTCGCAATGCACAACTGGTGTTGAATAGCCATTGTGGAGATAGTCCATTGCAGATGCAACATCTATCATTATATCTAATCTCCGCAATAAGTTCAAGAACAAGTTGTGAGAGTATAACCATTTATCAAGTGCCCCATTGGGCATGTATTCCAACACTAAGGCCTTGAAATCAAGGTTGGAGCAGCTGGTGATGATTTTGGTCAGATTTCTGTGGCGAAGGTTGCGTAGCATCTCACATTCGGTATCAAAACTTTTGAATGCACCCTCCAATTGCACATTGAATACCTTTGCTGCTAAAGGGGTTCCATCCTTAAGTGTTCCTTTGTAAACCGTGCTGAAACTCCCATTACCAAGTAAGTTGCTTTCATCGAATCCTTCTGTTGCTTGTTCAAGTTCATAATAGGAAATTCTTTCATGTCCTATTATCGGGGACACTTCTGCTTGGCCTGCATTCTTCTTTATCATTTGCATTCTTAAATATACACATGTGAAGGCTAATGCAAGAAACAGCAGGCCCACTCCCAAAAGGGTATACAAAACCAAGGTTGCCTTTTTTGTCTTGGTAGATTTTATGATGCATGGTGACACATGAAACCTGGAGTCACCACAGAGTGCATTATTGGACAAGAAAGATTGACCTGTGGCATTTGTAAAAGGACCACCGGTGGGAATCTCTCCACTAAGTTCATTAAATGAGATGTTCAGGTATTTTAGATACACAAGAGCTTCTAGTGACTTTGGAATTTCACCGCTAAGATTGTTATAGCTCAAATCCAAGAATTCCAAAGCCAACATTTCTCCAAATGAATCTGGAATATACCCATCTAGTCTATTATGTGCTAGCGAAAGTTTGCTCAATTTATCTAGACCCCTTAGAGTACTTGGAATCTTCCCAAAAAAATCATTTTTTGACAGATCGATGAGTGTTGCAGCCTTTAAATTTTCAATCTCCATAGGAATTTTCCCACCTAATAAATTGGATGAAACATTGAATTCGATGAGATCATGAAGGTCCCCCAAGGCTTCAGGTAAGCTTGAGTTCAGTCTATTGTAAGCTAGATAAAGATACCTCAAATTGGTAACTTTTCCTAAGCATGGTGGCACAGAACCAGCAAACTGATTTCCTGACAAGTTTAATGCACCAAGTTTCTTTAAATTGCAGATAACATCTGGTATGGTTCCTTCTAACTTGTTGTTTTGTAGGTAAAGTTCTTGAAGATTCAGCATGCCTTGGATAGTATTCGGGATATGTCCAGTCAACTCATTGTTAGACAGACTCATCTTTGTCACTCCAGTAAGATTACCAATTTCTTCAGGAATGACGCCCTTCAGTTTACAATCCTGTCCTACAAAACTGTGTAGAGAGTTAGAGAAATTTCCAACGGATGATGGAAAAACACCATCCAACGGATTATCAGCAAACCACAGTACTTTTAGATTCCTACAGTCTGTCAAAGATGTCAGGAAACTCATTGATGAATCGCTGGAAAAATTATTTCCCCACAAGTTGAGAAACTCAAGGTATTTTAAGTTACCAAGTGATGTAGGAATTGGACCTGTGAAACTATTGAATGAGAGTTCAAGACCTGTGAGTTTTGAAGAATTCGAGATAGTAGCAGAGATAAAACCACTAAACTGATTTTGTGCACAACTAAATTTTTCTAGGCGGTGCATTCCACGGCCTAAATCTGAAGGTAAAGTACCGGTAAACTCATTTCCTCCAAGTCCTAGGTGCTGCAGTTCCGACATGTTGAAAATGCTTGAAGGGACGGTACCAGTAAACATATTTTGGTATAATAACAGCGCCTGGAGTTTCCTAAGATTACCTAGCTCCACTGGTATCTCTCCTGTCAAGTATGAGAATATATGAACACCAGTGTGATAGAGAGAAAAAAGAAAGAAATTTCAGATTTCTCATTAGGAAATATCATACTCCATGTCATTTTATGTCTTAGTATGACTAGGCACACCGTTTAACGAAAGTAAGAAAAACGTTTGAATCTTGTCGTCTTAAACTAAAGATGTGTTTATTGTTCCACAATACCTTTGAATCTTTTGGTTTTAAATATGCCATATGGAATATTGGAGTTAAAGAGTTACTAAATATAGAAAGAAGCATTCTTATCGAAACAAACTAAAAAGGAATTAAAATGCATAAATTGAAACAAAGAGAGTGCTACCTTCCAAGTGTTGTTCTCGAAGTTCTAATATTGTAAGTTCTGTTAAGTTAGCTAGCTCTCTTGGTATAGTTCCAATGAACTCATTGACAGACAATGACAAGACTTGAAGCTTTCTGCATTTTCCTATATTTGGTGGAACGACACCTTCTAGGTTGTTTGTTGAGAGGTAAAGCATTTCCAAGTTTGGAAGATGGTCACATATAGTCATTGGAAGCTTACCAGTAAGATTGTTACTAGTAAGAGCAATGACTTGCATTGTCGTAATGTTAAAGATTGATGGTGGTATAGAGCCAGTAAGCAAGTTGTATTGCAGGTCTAAAATAGTCATGTAACGAAGATGACCAAGTTCTCGAGGGATCTCTCCTTTGAGATAATTTCCCTGTATGCTCAACACTTCCAGCTTTGTTAGATTGGAAAGGAACGATGGTATTTCTCCCGAAAATTGGTTGCTGGAAAGGCGCATAATGCGAAGGTCTGGTACCAAACTTAAAAATGATGGAATGACACCAGTGAAGTTATTGCTTGTAACATCAATCTGTTTCAACCTCTTCAAATGAGCCAGTTCCTCTGGCAATTCTCTATAAAAAGTGTTGTTACTGATGTCGAGGGAAACAAGAAATGAGAGGTTTCCAAGATGTGGAGGAATGGTACCATGAAGTTGCATGTTAGAAATGTTTAAAGCTGTGACTCGTTGATGGCGGGAGCTGCAAGTGATTCCAATCCAGCTGCAAACTGGGGTGGAAGAAGACCAGTTTCTTGTTAATATATTGTTAGTTTCAAAAGAAATGTGAGATTTCAGGGCAACAAGAGCAGCTGCATCAGTGTTAATATTGGGAACAGTAGCAAGGGAAGTATGGTCATGTAGCAGAAAGAAAACTGCAAGAGCAATTAGAAAATTGCCACTAATTCTGCCCATAATTATAGCAGGATTTCTCTTTTTTCTTTCTTGATCTAATACAAGAATGGCTATAAGGAATGATCTTAGATGATCTCTTTAATGGTATCAGTATACTGTTGTTAGTTTCTGGAGTGTTTTTGGTTTAAGAGAGTCAATATTTTGAGTACTACGGGCTCGTTTGGTACGAGGGATAAGGGATAATTAGTTTCGGGATTAAAATTGAAATGAGTTTATCCCACTTTTGATTAGGATAAAATTGCGGTATAACTGGTCCCGGGATTGTAATATTATTTTTATCCCAATGGGAGGGTTGGATGATAATCTCGGGATAATTATTCTCGGGATACCTTGTTTCCCAACAAAACTACCCTAAAAGTTTGTATTAGGAATGCATTATTGAGGATGGCAATATGTCTCTTGCTTCTATGTGATGTTTGAAAATACGTCAATCTCGTTCTGTTCTTTCTTGACGCGTTGCATTTAATTATAAGTTGACTGTATGATGAATCTGGAAGTCCAACTTTCCAAATTAAAGTCAAAACACAAAAACTTGCCCCTTGTTTTGAGAAGATATAACAAAAAATCAAAAATTAAGTTGTACATATTAATAATGTAAATTTTTTTAATTAAAAAACGCTTAACTTTCTCAGTGGACCTTTCATATGCTGTGGTGTTCATGATTCGATTTGGATCGGTTTTTTCCTAAAAAGAAACCAAATTAAGTTAGTCGGTTCTTCAAGTATTGCAATCAAATCAAACCAATTAAGTCGGTTTTTATTGATTCAATTTTGTCGGTTTTTTAGTTATTTATCGATTTTTTTCTAGAATATGAGACATACACTACCAAACACATGTTCCGGCGACTACATTTTCAACGTAATACTATCAAAGCACTTGCTCTATGAGAAATCTATCATTTATCAAGATATATTGATGATAATTGAATCAGATAGTGATGAATAATTTAAGTACTCAATTAAAAATTGACTATTTTTAACATAGAAATAAATTCTGGTACTTAGCAAAAGAAAATTACCAATCAAACTAGAATATAAAGGCAAGCAATTAGATTATTATAATAGCAAAGAACTAGACTAAACATACAAACGACTAATATGCACCATAAAATTTTAAAACTTTATATACTATACCAAATGCGAATCTGAATTGGTCAGCAAACTTAGTATACCAAATGCTTAAACCAAAAATATACTAAACAGTGACGGAAACGTAACAGAGTTTTCAAGTTCTTTGCTGCCCAGATAGACATACTTGACTCATTAAATTGATGGACAAAGTGAGATTTTTTATTTTTGTATTCGGTACACTGCAAAAATCTTGATCCAACAGTCTCTTTTACATGTTTGAAAAAGTCAGTATGTGTAGTCTATTTGCATTTAATGTGGATCCTTTCCACTTGCCTCCACCATGATAGTCAAATTTAGTTTTCTATTCTTTTATATATACATAGTAAGTGAAGTTTAATTCCTATAATGTTGTATTGTAGAACTAGAAACAGTATATCCACAGTAAATATCGTGTCATCTTGTTAATTTTTGACATTTCTTTTATGTAATCAAATTAATCTACATTTTTATCATCCAATTAACTCTAACCATAACAGTCCATTCTAATTCTATATGAAGTGTCCCTCCCCGCACCTTTGAAAATCCACAAAATTCTTTTTTGACAGATCTCTCTTATAACAAAATCTTTTTTTTTT